TTGAAGTCCACACATCTTAAAGTGGCCAAGTTTGAACAACGCTGATCTAGAATTTTTAAAACAATTGTCCTAGGATTACCTGGTAGTTTCCCACCCAAGGTCTAACTAAACAGATCTGACCCTGCTTATTAAGAGTTATGTGTGCCCTTTAGCTAGGCCACCATTAACTGCACTTCTCAGATACGTGGACCCCATGGTCTGTACCAAGGAATAAGAATATCTAGCTTAGGTGTCATAGCACCAACAGAAGTGACTGATAAAAGAGGAAACAAGGTAATAAATAAATAAGGTAATAAATAACAAAATGAGTGAAAAATGTTTGAAATGTATCAGGGATGTTTGCACAATGTGGTTAAAAAAAACGTCTTAATATTTTCAGGTATAAGTTTCTTATAATTTTTCCTTCAGCCCACAGTATATTTGTTTCTATTTAAAATCTGTTTTATGGGTAAAAGAATTCATAATTTGTGAGAGAGTCAGAGTAAACTTTCTTAGCCTCCCGACTACTCTTTTTTTTTTTTTAAAGAAACCACAGGCTTAACCTTAAAATTAATTCTTAATCTTTTCTCATTGGAATTTATTTATTTATTTATTTATTTAATCAATCAATCAATCAATCAATCAATCAATCAATCAATCAATTAATTAATTTGTATGCTGCCCAGAGGAGACAAATTTATTTATTTATTTATTTATTTAATCAATCAATCAATCAATCAATCAATCAATCAATCAATCAATCAATCAATCAATCAATCAATCAATCAATCAATCAATCAATCAATCAATCAATCAATCAATCAATCAATCAATTAATTAAATTTATTTATTTATTTATTTATTTAATCAATCAATCAATCAATCAATCAATCAATCAATCAATCAATTAATTAATTTGTATGCTGCCCAGAGGAGACAAATATATTTGTTAAACCGAAATGAAAATTTGGCTCAAAAGGTCTGACTCTTTTTACCAAATTGTTAGAAATGTTTGCGTTTCCTGCAAAAATGATGGTAGAAATGACAGATCAGGTCAGCAAGCCTTAAATGTTTCCCAAGCAGCAGAATATTAGTATTAAATTATCTTCTCACATTGGCCACTAGATGGAGAAACATATCCATATAGAATCCATAAACTCCAGCTTCCTGTTCATAATTCATAATGTAGAAGCTTGAAAAGAACCTGGAGTGAAATTGCTGAATTAGAACTAACCAAGAAGCTGAACTTGATCCAATTAGGATAATCAAAATGGGTGTTTTTTAAAAAATTATTTTTATTTCTTGAATAAGAAAAAACATGTTTTCTATTTTTTTCTGTAAAACTTGTAAAAAGGCCATCAAGACAGTGATGCCCAAGGTGTTAAACCTAGCAATGCTATTTCATTCTCGGTTACAAGCACTGCAAAGAGACTGGGTGCTTACCTTATGCTTTGCACAGAATAAGAATGGACTGTGCTTTTTTCTACATTTCACTGCTAACTGGTTTATTTTATTGTCCTGCACACCTGAGTACACACACACATCCATATTTACTTGAAACAAAAACTATTTTTCCCCCAATAAAGGAAGGAGATGAATTTCCGTATTTCATATTTCTTATTTGGGAGAGAATTGTCTTCCTTTTGGGTAGATAAGGGCCATGGTTATGTACACAGCCATAGCCCCATGGACATTAGACCAGATGGGGTCCTCAGCACTCAAAAGTTTTCACCAACTTTACAAAGTTTTTTTGCTCGAGCTGCTTATTAGCTATTTTTAAAGAACTTGCTGTTTTCATGAGTTTTCTTTTGGTTATCATTGTTTTTTAGTAGCTGGTATTTGAAGCTTCCTGCATGATTTTCAGAAATGCCATGTGATCAACAGCAGATTAATCAGAACTGATTAATAGCATTTGATGTACATTTAATGCAGGCCTAACATCCTTGGTTAAAAAAAGAAAATGAAATAGATACCCACACAATAGTGTAAACCACATTCATTTATGCAGTTGTTATCTGATCAATGTAACAGCCAATATGAAGGTATGTGATTAGGCATTCGGTGCACTAATAATCACAATTTACTTTCCTACTGTTTGTTTGCTGCAATTTCTAAGGCATGCCAAGGCAGGAAAGAAACAATCTGTGAAGTGATGCAGTTTTTTAAAGTCCTTAAAATTAGGTGCTAATATTGCAAATCGGATCAGGTTTGCATGGAGAGAGGAAGGGTATTTTGCTTTTTGTACTGTTCCACCTTCCCAATTAAAATCACAAAGAAGAAAACATAAAAGTATTACTATAAACTCATTGGGTCCTCTCATTAACAGTAGACACATAGTAAAATTGGATCTAGGTTGAATCACTTCAGAGAGGTAGAAAATAGATGTCAATAGCTTAGCCTTCTCTGGGCTGGTAGCCTCCAGATGTTTTGGATCTTAACTGCCATCTCCAATCTGTTTGGGCTGTGAAGGTGTGTTGTTCAACACATTTGGGAGGAACCAGAAGTCAGAAAGGCTTGGTTTCTCTGATGTCATTGTTTTCAAGAACTGGATGCAAATAAAGTGAGGAAACTCCCAATTTCCTTTGTGGATATTTCTCTGGGGAAGAAAGGTTGTGGCCTGGCCAGGATCCTGACACATGAACAGATGGAGTGACATTTCCTTGCTAATGACAAATGATACACTAATATGGCTGAAACGAAGCTTGGCACTGGGAGATACCGGTTGAAAGACTACTTAACAAACCATGTTGTGCTGTTTCAGGCAGGAAGCTGGTGCATGAAAGTCATCCAATAAGTCTGTGTGAATGTACAACACTTAAGGAGCATAGAGAAAGTCATTTGAAACAGTAGTTGTGTGCCAAAACAGCTCCGAGTACTTGGTTTATTATTTTTTCCCCTCTCCCCAGAACATGCTCTTCTTGCAGAGCAAACTCCTCTTAGAGACTCTGCCACTGTCTACGTGGCACTTGCT